CGGGGCGACGGCGGCGCTATGAATTCGTTGGGGTGGCCTTCTGGCGGGGCTACATATCCTACGCCTGCCCCTTCCAACTGGTCTCCCGCGATCCCTGCAAGAAGACCTTCACCTGACATACCTAATATGGCTCAGAACAAAGCTGCTGCAGACCTAGCAAAAAGCGGAGCCCGTCTGTTGAAGCCCCTCAAATATCCTGAAAGAGAGAGACGAGACGGAAAAGAAGAGGGGAAAAGCGAGGGCAAATGTTCTTCCTACACTGGCGCAGGCAGCGCGGCCCCGGGGGAAAGACCACGACGCCTTGAGCCAAAATGGCTTGAGCCAAAATGGCTCAGGGTTTAGGGTTTAGAGGTTTTCCATAATTAACTGCCGTAACCGAGTGTCCAATGCTCGACCATCGGCTCCTGTCGTCACGACCGCACGGAGATATTCCATCTCCTGGGCTTCACATTAGACTCTGGGTACAGCCTTTCGAGGCCCTCGTAGCATCTGCTGCGACATGCTAGACACTTTTGGTGCTGCTGACAGTACAGCTTCCTGGATCTAGGCGGTACCACGGTACATCATTTGCATGGGGTCGGGTGGACTGCTGAGGCATCCGAGATTCTGCCTGCATCTGGGACTGAGCCTCTTTCACATCCAGCACGTCACAAACGTGGGCCTTCATCTGCACGCGCTTCACCCGATCCGCAAAGCGAAGGGTGCAAAGGGTCTGCATCTGATAGAGCAAAGAACAACAAATGGTACATAGCATCAAGGTGTAGCTATTTCCAGCCAGACTGTCCCGAAGAAGCAGGGTCAAAGTCGAGTTGCGGTACGGGACGTGGCGAGTTTCCCTCTTCGCTGCGCCTGGCTGAGACAGAACCTGCATGCAATTTCCCAAGGTGTGCAGCGATTTGTTGATGGTGGCCAGCTCTCGGGCATGCTGAGGTGACGGAGATGGCCCGTTTGTCACCCACCGCTCATTTCCGGCGAGATCCACTAAACGGACCTTAGACTCGCGAATCACAGCCTGACGGTTCACCGTCAAGCGCTGGCGGATCGTTAGGGTGAGTACGCAGTGAGCTCTCGAGGACTGCTCGTTGTAGTTTGTAGACCGGAACGCCACATTGCCAAAGCCAGCTATGAGCTGGTACAAGCAATCTTCTAAGTTCACAACGGAAACCTCTGTCAAGCCTTCTACGTATACTGGGCCTGCTTGAACCGCGGACTTCGTCTTCAAGCTTTCTTCCCGGATGCGCAACGGCTTTGCCAGCGTTGCTGGCTGAAGCAAGTCGTAGCATCGCTCCTGATAGATTTGAAGATAGCTCAAAAAAACCTCTGCATCTGGCGAACGCTCGAAAATATGCTGCATGACCCTCGGCACGATGCCACGCTGCTGCGAGGACTTTAAGCCTTCGGTGGTTGGACGTTTGTGGCCCTCGAAGGCAGACTCCATGAGCGTAGGTCCCAGCATGGTGTGCGTCTTGCCACTGCCAGTCATGCCGTAAGTAAAGAGAGTTACGTTGTAACCTTCGAAGGCCTTGTCCACAGTAGGTAACACGGAAGCCCATACCTCGTCCTGGTCGGTCTGCATGCCTAGCACCTTGTCATACTGGCACTCCACTGTGCGGGTACGTTGTGGCTGCCTGTTCTTCCGGTGGGTTGGCCCCTCCTCAGCGGTGGTGGTCAGCAGGACTTTCCTCCCTTCAGTACGGGCACAATGGCCGTAAGGAGCCTCAGGCGCAAGGGGGGGTCTGGCGCGGACTAGCACCGACACGAAGGATCCTTCGCTCCGTGTGCTTTTCATGGAAACAGAAATGCGAGATGCCAAAGCTTCATCGTCATTTCAGCCCGGAAGGCATTCTACATCTCTACACATCGCATAGCAGGCGGCTGCCATGCTCGAGCCGATACCCCGACCGAAGGTCACATTCCAGACTCCCTGACGAAACTCGCACAGCCATGCATCTAGGATCACCTTAAGCCACCGAAAAGGCTAGCGCCGGGAGCTTATGGGAGCTTGTGCGAGTCCATTAGTGGGGCTCGCACTGACAAGTTGCATGCCCTCGGTAATGGAAGTGACTCCGGAAAAGTCCTGACCATCATGACGAGATGCATCTTAAACAAGCCCTTCGCCCCAGCGGCTTCGTGATAACTCTCATTGTAGCCTGCGCTTCGCAAGACTCGCCAGCCTCGACTCCAACACGCAGCAAGGACACAATGCAGCATCTGCCAATGCGCATTCAGTGGTTTGCAACCTCCGATCTGCCTGCACAGCCATCTCTACGCCTTCGAGATTGATTGGGTTCTCAACTGATGCCTACTGAACCGTGATGTTATGATGTAAGCTCAAGACCTTCAAACCCCGACTCCTAAGCCTTCGAAGTTTCAGATCATACAGCCCTTCGCCGTGTAGCCTGTTGCATAACTAGCTCCAGGTGTCGGCACACGAGCTGGGCGTGACTTCTCCTATTACGTTTATCATTCAGGTTGATGCCTCTGTCACTTCCTGCTCTGAGTTTTTTCCATCGACCGGCGAAGTGATAGTCGGTTTGGTTCCTGATACATGTTTACATGGACCAAAAGACCGCAACATGCACCTGTGCTTGCATATCTGCTCAAACTATACGCATAATTAGCAGATGTATATGTATGTGTATATATAATTATATATATAGATATAGATATAGATACACACACATATATATATATAAACGTATGTAAGCGTGTGTATGTATACCGTGTACGTGTGTATTCATATATATATATATATATGTATACATATATATATATATATATATGTATACATATATATATATATATTATGTATGTCAGTCAGTCAGTCAGTCAGTCAGTCAGTCAGTCAGTCAGTCTGTCTGTCTGTCTGTCTGTCTGTCTGTCTGTGTGTATGTGTAGGTAAATTTGTATATACGTATACACGTACATGTGTAAATGTATATGTACACACACACAGAGGCGAATATTCACACATGCACACAAACATGTGAAATCTGTTGCTCTCTGTCTCTCTCTGCGCATATATATATATATATGTACATATACATGCGTATATGTGCACATATCCATGGCTGTATTCTGCTCTATTCACACATAAGTATCTATCGTTGCAGAGTATGGTCGTAGATGAAGGGAATCTGGCAACCTGGAAAACAGAGCGAACACATGTACCCTGTGTGCGAGCAGATGTCCATGCGTAAATGTGCACGCACACACAAGCACTTGAATACCGGTACCCTGCTGTCCAGGCAGCGGCATCTGACAAGACCATGCCACAAACATCTACAGAATCTAGGAACGTGCGGATATAACGACGAAAGTGGCAGGTTCAGGTCGGCTGATGAATTCTGGTGCTTCCGCTGCAAAGTCGAGGTCGGAGCCCAGCCATCGAGCGAACCGCCGTGCTTGGCCTCCACCTCCAAGGGCAAGATCAAAGAATGTGGAAGCTACTCAATGCTCCCGACAACACACGACGATGCATGTGGTGTTGGACGAGAGTAGAAGGTGCATGAAGTCTAGATGCAGCTGATCATGCAGACCCTTTCTTGGGATCCACTGCCTGTTGCATGAGATGCTTGATGGCTTCCTGGAGGTACTGGTTCTCCTGGTCCAGCTTGTGTAGACCCAGCCTCTCAGAAGACAACTTGATGTACATAGGGAGGGACATCGGTCGGCCAGGATCCCGGCGTAAGCGTCTCGACATCACCCTCAGACTTCGCCTTCTGCCTCGCATGCTTGTAAGGCAACGGCGGACGGACCCTTTGACACGGGGCTTTCGTGCCTGGAGCGCTCCAATTGACACAATACTGTGGCAACCGAAGTCAGGACTCTAGGAGGATGCAATCCTAGCAAAATCCACAGCAGACGCTCTCAGCTTCTTGCGATTCTAACTTTGCCAAGGTCTCACCCTGAAGCTTCAGGTGATCCTCCTGCGAACAAGCGCCGAATCTCCAATCTTCGTGATCACTCGAGGAAGGGGCGACCTCCTTTTGCGCGCTGCGTGATTCGCGTTTTGCTGCTCTGGGCTAGATCTTTGCCAGCTGCAGTTAATATGGATGTGTTTTGTGCAGGAACCCAAGGCTGGCTTCCCTATGGCAGAGAAACGCATCGGAATCGTAACGAGTTCGTGCTAGCCTTCAACCGTGGCTGTATGGCAGCATAACGTGGGACAAGCAGTTCCGACCACTTCCTGTCAGGTCTCCCAAAGGCTTCCAGCCTCCGGCTGACCCGGACTTTCAAGCTACTCTCGGTTATATACACCCGGAACCAACAAGAGCAGCATCCTGGTACAGCAGCTTGTCTCTGGTGGCCGCTGTTCGCTCCTCTCGGATCCAACATAGGGGAAGGACGACTGACTGGGATTATGCTTCGGTTGAAACTCACTGGCCTTTGTCCTATGCCCCAAGTATCAGCATTTCAATTTCAGGCAGCTCTGACCTCGATCTTGCCAAGTCTGACAAATGTCGCGGAGCATTCGTCTTTTTTTTAAACAAAGGGTAGGAATCTGGGATGGCAGGGTTCTCGGAATGCGCCCCAAACCCTAAGCGGCGAGCCCTGCCGACTCAAAGCCCTGAGTCCTGTGTTCCTGATACATACATACATACATACATGCATGCATACATACATGCATACATGCATGCATGCTTGCATGCATGCATACAGACATATATATATATATACACATACTAAAACTAAACCTTGGATATCTTGAACCCTACATAACCAAGTGCATGAGGGATGACAGCGAGCCATTTCCAGCAACATAGCACAACGCTCTAGTTTGCAGTATGATCGGAGGATGCTCTGCTCGGCAAAACTCCTTGAAGACTCTTGAAGGCAATGAGGCAACATCCGTGATCTCACGACATACTACGGTGAAGGAGCCTTTTTCAGGATACTCTTGCAGGCAAACTGCAACATGGATGTGGGGCGGTACTCTCTATTCTTTATTGGTGTGCCTTACAATCGCTTTTGCTGTGTCCAGGACCCACCTCCAAAGATAACCCACCCCTGAACAACGAAGGAGGAGAGACTTTTCATGACTTTCCTCCTTGGCGATTCAACAGAACTACCACAGTATTCATCTCAAACAGGCCGTGTTACCCTGTCTAGTGCCTAATTTGCGGCTCTGCTGGGGGTTTGACCTTCAGCTTCGCCAGGTCATTCCGGAGGTCCTCAAAAGCTGGAACCAACATTCGGCACTAAAAGCATCTGAGAAGGCACATGTATGTATGTGTATATACGTATACATATGTATATATATATATATGTATATATAGTATGTATGTATACATGCATATGTATATATATATATATATGTATACGTATATACATAAATACGTACATGCACACATTCGGACATGTACATATACACGTGTATACATATCCCCCCCAAGATCTACGTGTGCAGGTTTACATATTTGGGATTTCCTGATTTCCGGCTTGCTGCGGGACATAGGTTTCCAGATTCCACATTTCCAGATTTGCGCGCCCCAAGTTTCCAGAGACGCCCCAGGCAACGGACCAGGCGGTTTTGCGAAACCGATCGATGTTCATGATGCTCGCCCTGGCTGCGGCTGATGCTCATGCTTTTACATGCCCCAGCCTTCCAGATTGACAAGCCTCATGACTCAAGAATGCAGATTTCCAGATTGACAGGCCCCAAGATTCCAGATTTCAAGATTTGTACGCCTCATGTTTCCAGATTCCAGAGTTGCGAGTGCCAACAAAGTTAACGAAATCCAGGTTTGCAGATGCGAGATTTCTGGAAATCTGAAATCTGGAAAACTTAGGGCGTGCAAATCTGGGATCTGGAACCAGAGCGAGCATCATGAACATCAGTCGGTTTCGGGGCCGAAAGCAAAACCGCCTGGCTTATAGAATACCATCTGGAATACACTATAGAATGCTTTTTGGAAAACCTTATACATGATACCCCCTGTATACCTTATCTATACCCTTGAGAATCTCCCTCGGAATACCCGAAAGAGATCCCATAGACAAGGATTGATATAGGAGAAATCAGGAGGAGCCCAAGATCTTGTAGCATATTGAACAAGGGATCTCTGTGAAAAGAATCTAGAAATAAAGGAGACTAGCCTGTAGAATACCTTGCAGACTACCCTTTTCTAACCCTAAAGGAAATTTCACAAAAACTTCAGTAATACCTGATAGAATACTCCCGATGTATCTGGTATATACCTTGTTGAATAGCCCATAGTCTACAGAACACCTGTTAGCACACCTTCTAGAATAGCAGTTATATATACCTTATAGAATACCCCATAAAACCCTCTCGAATATTTTACAGTAAAAGGATTTATATAAGAAGGATCAGCGGGAGCCAAAGATCTGAGACTTCCTGTTGAATTGCTTTAGAATACCTTATAGAAGACCGTCTATATATGATACATTCTGAGAACACCTACAGAACACCTTATAGGATATGCTTTAGAATCCCCTACAAAATACCCTATAAAGTACCCTGTAGATACGGATGTCAATATGCAGAACCAGTCGGAGCCCAAGATTCCTTGAATTGTAGCTTCTGGGTATGGGATTCCTGTGAAGAAAATCAGGAACCAAGAAGAATAACCTTACAACTACATGATAGAAAGCCCTCTCTATATTCCATGAAGAACTTCATATAGAATGCCCTACAGAACACGGTCCCAAATAAAGGCCACAGAATACCGCTTGTACAATACTCCTGTGGAGTACCCTATAGAGTGCCTTATAGAAGACCATCTGGAATACCCTGTAGTAGCATACGTTGCAGAAGACCCCGTATGTAATATACCTAAATATACCTCATAGAATCTCCTGTTAAGAAAACCTTTCAGGATGTCCTTTATGATACCTTATAGAATACCCCATTTCAATTTCAATAAGGAAAATCAGGAAGAGCCCGCCTTGTTAATAGCGTAGGTTCACAACCGAAAAATGCAAAAAACAAGAGGTTTTTGAATACCACAACTAGTGACGTGCAATACCTTCCGACACTTTCGGCTATCCGAATACATGCAGTCTTATTTTTGTTGGCCGAAAACCGGCTGCAGATCTATCGGTGCATCGAAACAAGATGCTTAGCATCACGGTTGTACTTGTTCGAGGATAGAAGCGATTATAGCGATATTTGCGATGGTTTCTGTACTTATGACTAGAGTACACGTATGTGCAAATAAGCACGAGATGGTAGGAAGCCTGCAAGCGTAGATCTTGGGGGGGTGGGGGGTGACCGTATATATATATATATATATACACACATACAACGCACGTGTACACATGCATATATACATATGTACATACGTACACACGTCTATGCATGTCTGCATAAACACAAGTATGTCTGCATGCATGCTTATGTATGTACGTATGTGTGAATGTACGTACATGAGTATATCTCAGGTATACATTTGTGCACATGTGTGTACTTATGTGCATGTACACGCTTGTGTGTGCATATATATATATATACATAGATGTATGTGTGTCTGTATTGGGATGTGAATACACATTCAATTACAAACATAGTGCACCGACTTATCTGCACATATTCGAGCTTGTACACACACACACACATATATATATATATAGCAGTGTGTGCACATGCACGTCCATGTGTGCACACGTGTATGGTATCATTATCATTAGTAAATAATCGTTTTGTGTATATATATATATATATAGATGTACTTCACATGTTCTTCTGCACCTCATACAGCGGCAGAGCCGTGGAAGAACTGCTTCTGCTTGAATTTAAGGAAGGAGCACGGGATGGCACACCCAATGAATCTCGGCCTCTTCCTGTCGTCGAGACTTCCGAGCCGACTCCTGCGCCTGCGGACGATACTTTGCAATGTCACTCGCCGTTACCGATGCTGCAAACAATGGTGCAAAGAAAAGTTTCCCCATTCGACAAACCAAACCTATGCAATGCAGGCAGGTGTAACTCAACCCGGTTCCAAAGGAAGGAACTCACAACCCAGCTCAGCTGACCTTCTGGCCCGATGACTCGATGCTCTGAGGCCATGGCCCTCACCAGCTCCATGTTCATCTGCTGCAGGGAGCCCTGGCAAACACCAAAAAGGCTGCCGAATGCTTTCGTTGCTCCTGTGGGCTTGGGGATCCTGTGCTTGACTTCCTCAGGGTTGGAACTCACCACAGCAATCGAATATAACATCCTCTACCCAACCGCAAAGAACGGACTGCAAGCGGTCCCGATGCCTCCAATTCGGAAACTCCCCCGGCCTCACACAAAAAGGAAGAGCCAGGGAAAAGAAGCTGAACAAGCCACGACAACCCTAAATTCGTCAAGTGCCAACTCTAGCAACACGTGTAAATGGCCTGGGATTTGAGCTGCATGCGTCCATGCGCTCAAGCATGCGGCATGGATGCCCGATCCATCTCTCCACTGTCTCTGCGTTTCATGTGAGCACGTGCGGGTCTGCATCCAGAACCTTAGGATCGGGCCGGTGCCAATGCAGCTGCAATGCCTGGAGCATGATTGTGATCCACACGCGAGCAAGCAGGTCTGACAGCGCGCCGCATTTCCCATTCTGAGCGAGCCTACCCAATGGGTTCAGGGACATTGAATGACAGCTTCTGTAATCCCAGGCTCTGCGTCGAGCTTCCCGCAGCATGCGCCCTCCCGAAGCTTCCCTTGGCCCGCGGCTTGCTTGGCGTTCAACCTCGACTTCCCTGGCTGGCATTACAGCAGCTGCTCTGTCTCGAGTAGAACAAATGCAAACACCTGAATTCGAGCTGTGGACGGATCATCTGCGGTTTTCGCAAATGCGCTGCCTCGAAATGTTTGGACGGTTCGGGCCCGCTTTGAGGCTCAGCGAGAACTGTGAAACTTGGCGCCCTTGAGGCGAGGTGGCGGTATCCCTGTCAGGGCTACCTGCCCCAACCGTTTCTCGAGAACAAGCGGGCAATAACGAGACTTACATGGGCAGTGCATCACAACACTTAACTGTCCGAAGTGGCTCCAGACATCAGCAAATCAAGTCAGACTTTGCAAACTGTAGCTCCAAGCTACAAATTCTCGGCAAGACCAGCCAACAAGCTGGTGTTCAAGCATTCGCCGTGGGCTCAGGTGTCCAAACTTTTTAAGTTCTGAGAAGACACCGAAGACCAGGCCCTCGGCAAAACATTGCAAGGCGACCGTGCGCTGCGTATGTCTGTGCGTTGGGATATGTACGCGAGTGCGCAGATTAACAACCTGTCAAGTATAAGCACATGACAACCTGCATCTACATATACATAAAGACTCATGTACAGAACACCCTATGGCATAACAACAACATACCGGGCACCTCTTCCCACTACACATGACGTGTGAATGTAGCACAAGTAGGTAGACAAAGGACCGTGTGAAGCCAATGCTTGCTAATAATGACTTGCATCTACAATTATTCGCATATTTATATCTTATTTGCGCACGCACCTCTACTGGTCCACAACTCGCCCTCTTTCGCTTGCTTGCTTCCTTGCTCTCTCTGTGCGCTCGCACTTTATGCACAGGTCTCTGCGTCTACGCGAGGATATGTGTATCAATGCATAACTAACCAACTAAATAAACACAGATGTGTGTGTGTGTGTGCGCGCGTGTCTATACACATCTGTATATATATATATATTATATGTATATTTATGTATGTATGTCTGTGTGTGTAGTGTTCATTCGATTCCACAAGGACAGCAATGGAGCTGCACAACCAGCATGGTCAACAGTACCTCTACCTTCAATGGCCCGCAGTTTCGACACTGCAGTACATCTTAGACCCACAACGTGCCATGGGCAAGATGCTCTGTCAATCTCAATGTCCAATTTCACACGGTTTCACAGAGCGCCCATGTACACCTACACGATGCTGCTCATAACACAACAGAGGGGGGCCCTGCAATCTTCTCATGATCTGATGTACGTAAGCCTTGCCCAAATTAATGTAGGAGCAAAAAATAAACCTGCTTCCTGCTATTTGCAATCTTGGATCGA